AAAGTGTACAGAAAGCCATCCTATAACCCTATATTTATTCCGTGGATTTCTCACGATCCTCCAGCATATAAAATAGCAGCGTTCAGAACGTTAATCGCAAGAGCTTATTCGCACTGTAACAATGCAAATGATAGAAAGGATGAACTGAATTATGTATATAACTTAGCCAGAAAGTACGGGATTAATCTGAAAGCTATTACCAACAAGAGTAGTAGGAGCCTTAAGAGGAGAAATTTACCTCATAATGAAGGAGTGTTAACGATGGAATATAATGCGTCGTTGAATAATATTTTCCGACGCATCGGAAAGGCCCAGAACAAAAGAATCATATATAAAAGAACCCGCACCACGTACCAACTACTGCGATCTGATAAAGATTTAGTGGACAGAAGAACACTCCCCGGGGTATATAAAATTCCAGTTACGGACTCAAGGCGACGAAGTAAATTAATATATGTAGGGGCAACAGGAAGAAGTATCAAAGACAGGTTAGCAGAACATCAAGCAAATATAAGAAAAAAACAACCTTGCACTGCGCTAGCCACCTACGTTCTAGCGGACCAGCAAGACGTCAATGTTGAATGGGACCAAGCAAGACTAATGCAGATAGTTCGAGACAGGAGACACCGACATTACGCGGAAGCCTGGCAGATTTGTAAGGCAAAGCATAAAGGCCTTGCAGTCAACTTCCGGGAATCGACTAAAATATCGGCAGCATGGTCCTCTAGCTTAATATAAAATTAATAATTGAAGAAAGTAGTTAATATGTATCTCAAGTTATATTTTTTGAACGATGTAGGGAGATGGCATCTTTAAGTATTTATATTTAGATAGTTATGTAATCTTTTTATATTTCCGGTTACACTGACGTCATGTACAACGGATTATAAGCGAGTTCGAAAGATTTGAAAAAACAGTTATTCGTACTAAGCGTTCGATTTACGATTTTGTTGTTTATTTTGTTACTTATTTAATTTTATTTTCTTGAGAAAGGTCTTTTAACAAGACCGAAAACGTTTGAAAGTTGTTATAATAAAGCGTCGGCTGCAAGAAAAGGTGTTTTAGTAAGTGTTTTGATATTACAATATGCAGTCTAGAAAGAATTAATTAATATTTATTAAAATATTATTCACAAAAGTTACTAAACATAGAAACTATCATGCAGAAAATACCACACCATTGTTAAATAAAATCAACTAGTAAAAGAAATATGAATAATGCAATGTGAAGCTACTTTTTCAAGAATTTATAAACTTTGTATAAATTCATACATTACTTTTATTGTCCTATTGCATGAAGACATTAAATGATTCATTAACTTCTTTATTCTGAATCTCTACTTTTCTATCAAACTATTTTTTAATACTGTTTTTATGAAGTGCAACTAGAGAAGAGTGTATTTTTTAATTAAAAAAAAATATATAAAATACATATTAAATTAACAAAAAATGAATAAAATAATTTTAAAAATTATAATTATTAAATTTATTATTTATTAAAGCTACTTTAAATTTTTATAAAATAATCATGTTAACTTTTCATCTTTTCTAATAAAATTATTTAATAAATTATAAATATGAAATTCATAAAAACCTTTTGAGCTGGGCTAATTTTTCCATAACGAATTATAGCTATACATCTTTCTAATGGGATTGCCTTCTTTCTTAGTAGTAAAAAATCCTCAAATTCACCGTAATTTGCATATACTGGATCACCCTGAAGAAGACAAAACAAAAATTTTGTTATATCTAATTGGAGATTTATTCGAGCATTAGTTAACAATATTTTAGTATTAATATTTATTGAAATGTAGATGAATGTTAAAAATCACTTACAAAAAGAGGTTCAACAGTTGATGGAGAATATGCTGCAAAAGGGGGATATATTTCACTATTATTTTTTCCTAAAGAATGTAAAATTTTCTCCCAACTAGTTGAATGAAACATTTCTGTCCTATTATTTAATACTACGGACACCTAAATAAAATATAATATATTACATTAATCAATAAATAAAAATTTCCAGAAGCTTAAAATTTACAGTAACCCTTTAAAGTTTAAGATGAGGTACTAATATAATTTAATATAAAATCAACTGGGTACAAATGAATTGAAATACAGTCAACCCTCATCAGTATGCCACCATTGTGTTCTTCCCACTTTTTTGGCACTATACAAGGGTGGCAATATTTTTAAATTAGAAAAACATTACCACTATTAAAACTCCTCCTTTTGTTTACCAACTATTTCCTTGTTATAGTTGAGTTCAACAATCTTTTCCATTATTTTTAGGAACCTTCCCATATATAAGGGTAGTCCCAGAAGTACCTGACCTAACAAAGAAGACAGAAAAACATATCTTTATTTCTCAACACAGTCTCCTTTTAGCTCGATACACTTTTTCCAGAGATGTTCAATAGCTTCAATACTCTGTTTATAGTTAGAACTGTCAAGCTTCTCAAAATAGCCATCCACCACACACTCCACTTCTTCATTGTTGGCAAATCTTTTACCACTGAGCCATTTTATCAAGTTTGGAAAGAGAAAATAATCCAAGGGGGCTAAATCTGGAAAACAGGGTGTGTGAGGAAGCAATTCGAACCTTAACTCATTGATTTTAGCCACCACAATAACGGATATGTGAACTGGCGCATTGTCTTGATGAAACAACACTTTCTTTTTCGCCAAATGCGGCCGTTTTTTCTTGATTTTATCACTCAAGCACTGCAGTAAGTTTGCATAATACTTGCCATTGATTGTTTTTCCTTTTTGAAGATAATCAATGAAAATTATCCCATACGCATCCCAAAAAAAACTGACACCATGACCTTGCTGGCAGATAGAACTGTCTTTGCCTTCTTCAGAGCCGATTCTTCCCTTTCAGTCCATTGTTTTGACTGTTCTTTTGTCTCAGGTGTGAAGTGATGGACCCATGTTTCATCCATGGTTATGAATTGATGCAAAAACTCTGCTTTATTGCTGCAAAACATCCTCACAATGCTGTTTTTGTTCCATTGCGAGCAAACACGGCACCCATCTTGCACGCAGCTTTCTCATGTCCAAATTTTCAGTCAAAATGCAATGTACAGCACTCTTTGAAATGCCTACCATGTCTCAGCAGACATGGTAGGCATGGTAGGCTCTTGCACTTTGAGTCAACGGTCATCCAATACCATTTTCTGGATTTTCTTCACCATTTCTGGCATGGTCACCTCATTTGATTGACTACTGTGACATTCGTCTTGGTAGCTCCTATGGTCTTGTTTAAACTCTGCCACCCAATATTTTATTGTTGTAAACAAGGGAGCAGACACCCCCAGAGTAGAATCTAGTTCAGCTTTGATATTGGTTGTATTGAGACCTTTCAAATGAAAGTATTGTAACACATAACAATGATCAATTTTTTCTATGTTTACAAATTCACTGAGATTGTTCACTATTAATGGCTGTCAAACAAATACTAAACAACATCACATCTTTAAACTTCAAACTTAAGCTTTATAAGGCTGGTACTTTTGACCACAGTAATTTTTTTCAAACAACTACTGCCATCTATACGTCAGGTCAGATATTTCTGGGACGATCCTCATATTGTAAACTTCTTGGCACATTCTATTTTTACTGCCATCCAACTCTTCTATCATCCAAGTTCCTTCATAATTTAGTGCCAAAAATATTATTTTTTTAAATCTCATAAATTTGTAATTTTATATGAATTGTCTGCTTCAAACTGTTTTTAAAGATGTTATATTTGAAAGAATAAAATTTGAACGTATTTTGAAAATGACAATAACTATATCTTTAAAATAAAATTATTTTAGTCATTTATTAATATAGTTTTAAATTATTAACTCATTGACAAAAAAAGTTATGCATAAGAAGACAATACTGGAATCAAATAACACTATTAGTATTAACATCATGACCATGGTAATAGTGATTACAATATTATAGTAAAGAGAAAATTTCCTGTGGAACAACAGTACAATTTAAAAGAACCTTTATAGTGTTCCTTTTTTTTACTCAACTCTTAAATTGTCTGTCTTCCAGGTTTTCTTTGACTTTCCCAATGTATTTTCCAGTAAAAACTTTTACTATTTTAGTATTATAAAAACAAGTAACAGAGCTTCATATTAGGTGAAACAAGTAAAACGGTAAAACTGTATTTGGAACAAGACTATGTCTCAGAGATGGAATCACTTTGATGCTCAAGGCAGGTCTCGTTCTCATCCTCCTATTTTCTTTGACATTGCTGCTTTTGGGCGCAATCGTTCAAACTTCGCTGGCCATGACCATGAGATCGTCCACGATGCATCTTTGATAAAATTAACCTATCTAATTTCAAAATTTCTCTCCATTGCGTGTTGGCCCAGGTTGAATTTTTGTCAATGCATAACGAAAATTTCCTGTTTTTGAAAAAATAATCGTGGCTATTGTATCGTCCAAATTATTTTTTTTATTTTGCATAAACAATATACAGTTTAACCCGATTATAATGTCATCGAATGTAATGACAAACCTAATATAAATATCAAATTTTTATCAGTCCTACGATTTTACTATACTAGATAATGTTAAAAAAAAACCACTTGTAACGACATAAAACCGTTTTAACGTCATATTTGAAGCACTCCCAAATTTACAAAATTAGATTACAAATTTTATTTAACATAAAAGAAACTACGTGTTCGGTCCTAAGGTCTGAGTTTACTTTTTAGAATGACTGTGGGTGGTACTCTCCCCCACCTGACTTCGGTGGGATGAGATGGCTGTTTTGTCTGTTTGTAGAAAAGGGTCGCCATTTTGTATTTTATTTTGACTCGGTTCTCAGTCTCCCAACTACCTACAAGTCTGGATTTTTTTTATGTGCAAATGATTTGGGCACCTAATATTCTGTGCCAAATATCAACTCTCGACATGTACTCCTTCATACCTCTATTCTGGTAAGAACATTGGGCAGTATGATTTTATAAACAAGACATAGTCTTGTCAAAAACAAATTATTTTACATAAAATCTAACTCCTAAAAAATATTTTTAATATTTGAAATACTATTTACAGCAAAAATCACTTATTCTTTACTCTTGGCTTTTAGTCATGAAAATAAATTTTTATAAAAAACACAACATATTATTATACATAATTACATGCATTTGAAATATCTGGTTTGCTTTCTATTTTAATGACATTTATTATAAGATTTTGAAGTAAATGAATATAGACAAATCTTTATTTTCTAAATTTATGAGAGCTATTTGGAACACAACCTCTGGCGAGCAATTAGAGAAAAATAAGAAAGGAAGAAAACAATTTTATTATGTACAAAATTAGTTACACGTCAAGGCTACATCTTCACATAATTACCTTATAAAATTCAGGCACTTTTCATAGTATAGGGCAAGTTTCTATATCCCATCACCAAAGAAGTTATTGTCTGGGAGCTGAGTCAATCATTTACACCATCCATCAGCGTTTTCATTCATTTATGTGGAAATGTTCATTTCCAATCAGACCTTCATCTGAAAGAAAAGATTAAAATTCCTGCAAACAAGGTCTAGGTTGTGTGGTGAGTATGGAAACAGATCCTAATGAAACTGCTGCATGTGGTCTTTTGTGCAACAGTTGTATGTGTGTGTGTACGTCGGCATGCAGAAACACAATGCCTAATGTCAACATTCCTCTTCATTTGTTTGAATGGCTTTACATAGCTTTTTCAAAATTTTACAGGACATCTGTGAAGTTATCTCCCAGGAGAACACTTCTTTGGTGAGGAGATATGAAAACTTGTCCTATACTTGCTTGATTGCTGTTCTCTCAATTGGTTGTATATTATGCTAAGTTTTATTACAGTTATTATTATGCTAAGTTTTACCATAATCAGATAATTTTATCTTGATGCATAACTTTTTTGTCAATGAGTGTATTAGTATCTCATCATAAATGTATGAACCTAATTTAAATTTTAAAAGTAGATTATATTTATAAAATTTAATAACATTTAACATATAGCATTTAACATTATACATAATAATAAGTTTATTGATTTAGCAAATTGCTACATTACACATACCCTATTAAACTTTTCTTTGTTAGGATATGATAGAAAAACAGAATAAGGCACCAGATGAGCATCAAGACCTTGTTTTTTCCATGTACTATATATATAATCAGCTGTTTCCTTATCTGCATGACTACCAGCTACATGAATTTGATTTGTAAGAAACCTGAAACAATACTTTTTCTCTTAATTAAAAAATTAACTGTAAATTACTATTTTCAAAAATTATTAGTAAAATACTTATATACAGTCAGCAAGTTTACTCACCAACTAGTACATTAAAAATTATTTTTGACTCAAAATAATCACCTGCACTTGCTAGTGGTATAGTACAATAATTAAAAGTACAGTAGAGCCTCGATTATCCGACCCCCGATTAACCGTCACCTCGGTTAACCGACCCTCCTAGTCGGCAAATTTCAAATGTCCGCTGGTGATGTAGCGCTACAATATTTGGCTATGTCTTGGCTACTTTATTATTATTTTTATGTGTTTTAGCTGGCAACACTGGATCGACCATGAAAGGGAGCCAGTATTTAAACGAGGCTTAATTTTCTAATTCTTAACGATACAATAGCGACGATTATTATTTTAAAAAATTTTTGTTAGGCTTAACATCGATGAAAATTCAACGCGAGGTAGGTTAATAGCGGTATACTAATATACTAATTACATGGGATATAATAATATACTACACTAATAATGGATTCTTTCATACTTTTCGGTTATCCGACTTTTTCACTTATCCGACCAACCCCAGTCCCCAATTGGGTCGGATAATTGAGGCTCTACTGTATAATATAACACTGCAGTGAACAATAAACACACTGCATATAACAATAACAACTTTATTCATGTTTCACTGTAACTTTGATTTGCACTGTATTAAAGAAATGATATTTCTTTAGAGATGCTCTCAATAATTTATAAAATTTTAATTTTAGATAAAAATGAATTAATAATAAATTAAACAAACAAAAATTAACAACAATAATAAAATCAATTCCATACAAAAATTACAATATAGATAATACATCAGTATGACTGATTCTTTAGAACAGTGATTTTCAACAGACATGCAGCAAGAGGACAGAGGATAGGTGTGCCAGAAAAATTTTTGACAGTTATTAAATAAATTGTTTTCAAAAGAAGCCAAAAAAAAAAAGAAATAATAAGTGTACATGTCAAAGTTAAAACCTCTTTAAATTTATATGAGTTTTTCATTGTTATAATAAATAAACATATACATAATGTAGTAAAAAATATATATTCATAAGCAAAATGATATAGGCGTAACACTAGGTTATTTTATTTAAATTTTACATGAAATTTTCTTTAAACCAACCATGTATCTATAATTTTCATAATTAGTTCAAATTATTTAAACTTAGAACATAGGCAGGTTTCTAAAGCCAATTATAATGCTGCTTTTAAATGTAAATTAAAACAAGTAGAATGGCAAGTAACAAACCGTATTTGTCACTACTAAGCGGAATCAGTTTGACACTCAAGGTGGGTCTCCTTCTCATTTTCCAATCTTCTTTGGTATCACTACTTTTGGGCATAATCATTCAAACTTCACTGGCCACGACCTTGAGGTTGTCCACGATGCATTTTCAATAAAATTAACCTATCCAATTTCAAAATTTCTTTCCGTTGCATGTCGGCCCGGGTTGAATTTTTGTTGATGCATAACAAAAATTTTCCGTTTTTGAAAAAATAATTGTGGCTATTGTATCACCCAAAATTATTTTTTTATTTTGCACAAACAATACACAATTTAACCCAATTATAACATCATAGAATGTAACGACAACCCTAACATAATGTCAAATTTTTATCAGTCCCACAATTTTACTATACTAGATAATGTTAAAAAACATACTTGTAATGACATCCTGTTTTAATGTCATATTTGAAGCACTCCCAAATTTACAAAATTAGATTACAAACCTTATTTAACATAGAAGAAACTATGTGTTCAGTCCTAAGATCAGAGTTCACTTCTTAGAATGACTGTGGGTGGTACTCTCTCCCACCTGACTTTGGTGGGGTGAGGTGCCTGTTTTGCCTGTTTGTAGAAGAGAGTCACCATTTTGTATTTTATTTTGACTTGGTTCTCTGTCCCCTGATTACCTACAAGTCTGGATTTTTTATGCACAAATGATTTTGGCACCTAATACTCTGTCCCAAATATCAACTCTCGACATGTACTCCTTCATACCTTTAAGCTGGTAAACCGGCAGTACATAAACCGGCAGTACGATTTTATAAACAAGACATAGTCTTGTCAATTAAAACAATGTTAACTGCTTTTTTTATGCAAGGCTGCAATTTTTAATCATATTTTTAGTTTATTTAATTTCAAATACAGTAGACCCCCTATAACGTGAGTTCATATAATGCAGAATCATATATCGCGGCAAAAAAATTGCGACTGTATTCGTATAAAGATGCTAAAAGAGACTCATAAAATGTGGTAAAATGTCATCGCCGACTCGTGTTGCGACAGGATTGGTCGAATCTGGACCAATAATGGACGAGCAGCCAAACTACTTACACGCTACGGAGAGTTTAGGCAGGTAAGTTGAGTTTACTATCATCTGTACAGTATGTAAATTAGGTACCATAAGTCTAATATAGTACTGTAATTTTATACATTTCTTGTGAAAGAAACATTTCTTATTCAACGGCGATTAAAATTATTTATATTAATGATGTCTCCAAAGTTCAACGAAGTTTTCACAGAAAAATAACTTATCAGAAAATGCACCCGCGGTTTGGTGCGCTGCTCCACGACGAAAACAAGCTTGAGCAACGGCGACGTCAAACGGTGCACACTCGGTAAGTAATCCTACAATATTTTGTTTATAGCATAGTTTATATGGATTATTCCCAAAAAATTATACGTATTTTGGAAATGTTAAGTCGAATTAGTCTAGAATCGATTAATTTTATGGAAGAAAACCTTTCAAACAGCCGTAGTCTGTAAACTGCACACGTGCCGGGCTGTGATTGGCTCATGTATTTAAGGATTCCTACAACGCAAAATTCTTAGAAAGTGGAACATATCTACCGTGTTATGGGGGGTTGACTGTATACGCTCTGCACCTCAAATTAGTAGTGGCTTGTCCCTGTATATCATAATTTTTCTTTAAAAACAGAGTTATGCCAGTCATCTAACTTTTTACAGAAAAAAATTATTTAATTAAAATAATGTAACTTTTGGTCTGCATCGAAAGTTCATATATAGTTAATTGGGGCCTCCTGTCCCTAAAGTTTCTATAGCTAGTCTCAAATTTCATCTAACACCATTCTCAAGTTTAAGGAAAAACAAATAGGCAGATGGCCAGTAGTGGGAATTTATAGGTCAATTTTTTCAAATTGCAACCTAATAAAAATAAAGTCACAAAGTTTACAATACTCCAGTGTGATTTTGGTGGCTTTAAACATGGTTATCTTTCTGATATTTCCATAAATCTTTGTACTTTTAGTACTAAATATAATAATTAAATTGCTTCTTTAAAACTTGATTCATCAATGAAACAGACTTAGATTTTTCCATATCAACAAATGAAGATGACAAATATCATGTACATCAAGAAACTTCTCAGTCTTTTTGGTTTAAATGTCAGGATCAGATGCTATTTATCACTATTGATTATCTAAATTAAAACATCTTGAATTAAACCAAAACACCTTTGAACAAACATTTGCTTGGATATGTGTATTGAAGTATTGATCAACCTGTAAATTACAATATATTCCATTCACAAAAAGATTTATCAGAACCTTGTCTTTTGTGTCCACCCAACATATAAACAGTGAGACTTTATATAAGTGAGACCCCTTTTTGATATGATGAAACATCATATCAAAAAGGCTTCTTGATATGACAAAGTAAAATAACTTTAGAACCATTTTTTGATATGGAAAAATTTTCACAGATTATAATTCATACCAATGAAATTGGAAGGTTTTTTTTGGCACAGACTCTACAGATTATAAGAAGGAAATTACGGTAATATAAAATATCATAGTTAAATTAGATTTTTACTTACCTGTAAAATGTTTTTATACTATTGACATCTGTATAATGCACAATTTTTTGAGTAATAACAGTATCTTTTAAAGCATTTGGAAAAGTTCTCAATGTTGGATTCCATATAAATATCATAACTAAACACGACACAACAGCTCCTAATATAAAACATAAAACAGAGAAAAATAACATTGACCTATAATATTGTAAACGAGATACATTTTGTGGTCGACGTCTCATTTGTTCCAAAACATGTTCCAAAGGATCTCCTACTAGTTCATCCAATTCTTGATCTGACCAATCAATATGATCATCATTATTGAGTAAATTGTTTTTTACAAGGGGTAATGTTTCAGCTTTTTTCTTATTACTCATAATTTAATTTAATTTTCTGTTTTTAATCACAAAAAAGACTTTTCTTTAAGAAACCATTTGATCAAGTAGAGAACATCTAAAAGAAAAAAATTAATTATGTTAAATATACTGATTAAAAAACTTGTATTAATCATCTTAAAGAATAATTAGATCATTCAGTGAAACCTGGTTAACCCAAATTGGTCAGGGGGGAAAAACTTCAGATTTCAGGTTAAAAGTTTAAAATTAAGGAGGTTTGGCTAAAAATCAAAATTTTACAATTGGTTCATTGGTGAACTATAAACTATCCATACAATATTTCCACAGATCTTATTATATAGAATCATCATGTCAATGTAAAACTCTTGGTGTTGTCCAGAAAATTGAAAACACTTAACCGAATGATTGAATAAGCTATTGAGAAATGCTTTCCCGAATGGTTAATCAACTCACTCCTAAATATTTAGTAATGACTTTTAAAATTGCAATATTTCATTCATAGACTCAATCTGTCTTTTATTTTTTATCATAAACATTACTTTTTACAATATGTTACATTCTTTAAATTTTACATATATGTGACTGGAGGGTCAGCACCTCTTTGATGCCTTGTCAAAACTGCCACCACTGTGTCTCAGTTGACGTGGGAACCACGACAGCAATTTAGTTTAAGTTAAAAAGTCAGTTGCGTGAGTGATCAGATTCGGAATGGAGACCACAAGCAGGAAGTGAATCATGCAGAGACTAGGTTAACAAAACAACCATTTATTTGTAAAGAAAAATACATTTTATATATTTTAAATCGTTAAACAAGTTATAATAAATCAAACTAAAATAGATCTAGATACCTCCATGTTTCTCAAGAGAAAGAGTTTACGAGTTTCGCGTTTACAGGTATTTATCACGTGGTGATAAATACCTGTAGTTGAAGGATCCAGTTGTAGACTTGAAGCTTGAGAGGATTTGGTTTATTCCTTAGGAAGGTGGAATAAATGCAAAGGTTGGCACATTAGAATAGTTCTGAATAAAATGTATTCTGGGAGTAGATTCTATTTTGGGTTGACAACAAAGTTATTCCAATTCGAAGGCACAAATGGTTCAGATCTGAGTTGACAGAATAATTCATTTTGGAGCACAGATTATTGGTTGAGGAACTGATGACGACTGCAACTATTGAGGGACTGGCAACAACTCCCCGACTGCCCATCTGGTATTATTTTAAAATGATGAAATCAGGACAGCAGGTTGAAAGGGCATGTGAAAGTGTCTTTATTAATTCTGAGAACTTAAAAGGAGATATACTCCCAGGTGTGAAAGTTGACAGTTATCTGACAAAATTTTATTATCAAGACTATGTTATGATTTAGTTATGTAAATAAATTATGTAGTGCAGAGTCTCATATATAAACATCTCAAAGCCCAATAATCATATAAAAGCCAAACAATTATCAGATTAAATCAGGCTACAATACTAATAATTATAAACTCCCAACAACCTTTAAATAACCAGTAAAATATTTAAAAATACTATTACAAACGTTTTTGACTGTTATTTCCAGTCTTCTTCAGGTTAAAAGTTCTGAGATTCGAATAGCAGTTGTGCTTGAAGATTTAAACTTTTTTTAGAACGTATGAACAGTCACGTATAGCGATTCATACTGCGCATGCGCACTAAATATTGTGTATACAAACGAAAGAATATATCATTTTTTACATACATATAAAAAATGGTGGAGATCTGGATTAAATGGGTCTTCGTGTTCATAAAAGAGCTTCCAAGTATTAGAGATATTAATCACAACCTTGCAGTTGATGCAGTTATTGTGTAACCCAGCCTTGTATATTTCGAGAGTTTCTAGAGAACGTATATGTTCTCTTCGGCACAATATATTAATTATTTTCACATTATGCAGGTTAGCTCTTATGCCCGGGTCGAAGCATAAGTAGATAAGGCAGTGGTGCCTCTGTTATGCTCAATGTCATACCTACGTTCGCGTAAACACTTATCTAGAGAATGTATCATAGAGCCAATATATACATTAAGGGACCATAGATTTCAAAGGGACCTTGTATCAGAGCAGTGTTTCTCAGCCTCTAACGAATTGTCACCCCACTTCAATAAAACCATTAACATAGTATTGTCTGCATACAATTACATACATAAAACCATTAACATAGTATTAACATACAATTGTCCCCTTCACTTCAAAAACAATTTTGTTGGGTTTATTAGTTTAATTTTTTACAAAGTATATAATTATCAATTAAACATTTATTTACTCAGAATATGTATTAATTTTGTTAATTATATAAAAATCTAAAATTAAGCAGTATTAGCTGTGAATCCCCGCTACATGGTTCAAAATTCTGATGCCAAGGACCAACGCTAATGCCAAATTCGTATTGCATTGAATAGACTAGTCACTAGTATAATGTTATTCGTTTAATTATTGTATGATGTAACGAATAAAATAGTAAAACATTATATTAAGAATAATTAGATATATCGCCCAGAAAATTGTTTTTTTGCTCTCAAAATATATATTGTTACTAATCACCCCCCCTGATATGGAAAAATGCCCACATGGGGCAATATTGCTCCCATTAAGAAACACTGATCTAGATCAAACACATCACCACACCTGCACATAGTCACATGACACAATGTTTATTTTTAGTCATGCATGGTTCCCACACTTTATAGAATGTTTCTGATTAGTTTATTCAATAGATGAATGTTAATTATTTTATTTAACAGAAAATTAAAATTCCAGAGAGTTTATGAAAATACCATATCAAAACCCCATTCAATAGTAATTATTTAGAGAGTTCAATGAATTCAAGTTAACCAGTTGTATTAATATGTAAATCCCTATGCTAAATGATTGGGGAAGAAAATGACTTTAAGTTATCCCAGTTTGAGTCAACCAGGTTTCACTGTAAACAATTTTTATAAAATTTTGAAGCAAAATAAATTATAATTAATAAATCTGTACAGAATCAAAATACAGTAGAGCATTGATTATCCGAGTATTGGTCAACCAAAACATCGGTTAACTGAAAGCGTTCCAGTCGGCAAATTTAAATTTGCGCCAGTGCTGTGATGTTGCAATCTTTGGCTGTCTTGAGCTACTCCAATATTATTTTTGTTGGTGTGCATGTTTTAGCTGGCAGCACTGGCATGACCACGAGAGGGTACTTAATGACACGCCAGGATTTGAATGAATTTCAACATGGGATAGATTAATATATTTTTTCGTACATAATCGGTTATCCAAACATCGATTATCTGAACAACCCCAGTCCCGAATTGTTTCAAATAATCGATGCTCTACTGTAATTTTTATGATCATTACTTCTTCATTCATATAAAATTACTTGAATGAGAACTTTTAAATCAGGATCTGAACTGAAATCTCAAGCTGATTATATTTCTGTACCTTAAACCAAATAGATTTTTAAACTTTCAATAAACTTTTTAATGTTTTTAAAAACATAGTATATGGACTCCACTTATTATAATTACATACATCAAGTTAATGCTACAAGTAAAAATACATTATAGAAATTTTGTTTACTGATCCATATACAACTAGCCATACATGACACATCAAAATTTTGTTTACTACATACCAACAGACTGCCGAAAATCTATCGGGCTAGTTTTATGCTAATTATTAAATAAATTACGTAATCAATTTGGCACTAGAGGTAAGCGTTAGGTGCCATCTCTTATTAATATTAATAATTATAAATTAATTAATTAATTTAAATAATTTAGAATTGCTGGGAGAAAAAATCAGCCCGGAGCGGGACTCGAACCCACAACTCCTGCTTACCGTGCAGATGCGTTGCCAGTTACGCTATCCGGACCTCCGGTCTGATCTCCTCTTCCAGCGTATATAAGCTAACTACTTAACCATCGAGCTTAAGTAGTTAGCTTATATACGCTGGAAGAGGAGATCGAACCGGAGGTCCGGATAGCGTAATTGGCAACGCGTCTGCACAGTAAGCAGGAGTTGTGGGTTCGAGTCCCACTCCGGGCCGATTTTTTCTCCCAGCGGTTCTAAATTATTTAAATTAATTAATTTATTTATAATTATTAATATTAATAAGAGATGGCACCTAACGCTTACCTCTAGTGCCAAATTGATTACGTAATTTATTTAATAATTAGCATAAAACTAGCCCGATAGATTTTCGGCAGTCTGTTGGTATGTAGCTTTATTATATCGGGTTTGGTGATGTTTATATTTTGTTTACTGTAATCAAAACTCAATCAGAACTTTGTTATCATTATATTCATATAAAGAGGCTTTTTTAAGCTCTTTTTCCATGCTATCAGCCTAAATATGTGGCTGAGAACAATAACTGATAATAATTGCATGTTATCAGAGTTTGCCAGTGCAAATGTTAAATATTAATTGTTTTAATCATTATTTGCTTTCAATATAATAGTTTAAATCAATGACATTACACTAAAGAATATAAGCATGGGATTTTCTACCCTGAGTACTTTTGGGTCAAAATCCATCATTAGGGGAACAGCATGATTGAAACAATAGAAATTAGGTTAGAATGATTTTTATCCCATGCCCCCATCAACCATTTCACATCATCACTTCTGGGAATATGGCATGCAAGCTCATTTGCAGATGATTTGCTCATTTGTCTATTCAGGTAATAATAGCTCTAAGGAGCCATTTACAATACTGAATTTTGAATGCTTGAATGAAACATAACATAAAGCACAATTCATGCTTAAAATCTCCCATTGAACTTCAAATCCTTGAACAAATGAATAAAACTTGTAATTTCAATCAGTTTGACTTTTGTTCACAGGATTTGAAGTTCAAATATAAGTCATGTTTTATATTCTCATAAACAATGTAGCTATTTGCATAAACAACATAACCCAGGATTATCTTCATTTAAAGCATTAAAAGACTTAATGAATCTATCTTCCTCCTATAAAACTAAACAAAAAATGAAAAATTAGTATTTGTAAGACTACTCATTCAATACTTAGAATCTACATCACATATTACTAGTTTTATATTAAATAATATTATATATTACTAGTTTTTAAAAAAATATAGGCTTATTCTCCCAATCAAGCCACAATTATCATTATATATATTAGTTTGTAATAACATAGTAATTTATCAACTTTAGAAACATTGGGCATTTATACTGTTTCTTTACAACAAACAAATTCAAACACAAAACTATATTACATAGGAGTAAGAAACAAAACTTTTATATCATGTAATGGAACATCAAGGGGATATAAACAACACATATACTTCAGGACTCTCAAGGAATGTATTAGACCTTAATATTATACTTTTATAGGCTAAAAAATCAATACTCAGATAATGTGTTAAATGCAAATAATTTTCATTTGGAAATCATTTATACATTTTTACATTAGAACCCTGTAACAAACCTCTTTAGAAATTCCAGATGCATGGGTTGCTCTATTTAAACTTTTAAATGATTAACTCAATGCCTTGCATCAAATCTTTTAAATGTATAGTTATTTATTTTTATAATCCTATTACCAATCTTTCTTTTTATGTCATTGTAACTTCAATATATTCTATTATTTTTATGTTTGAATTTCAATGTTTGTAAATTCAAATATGTGCTCCTTTCATTTAAATGAACATTCTAATGGTATTTTTAATGTAATTTATATTGTCTAAGGAAGACATCAATGCAATGTCAAAAGTACATGCTAATATTAATATTTTTATCATTAAAGTATCTTAATGCCAAAAGACAGTATTGTTTATATTTAAAACACGTGTTAAAATAGTTTTAACATGTTCTTTTAATGTCAGTCAATAAAAACCACAATTTTCACTAAATTACTAATTATAATCTTATTTACTTACTTTAGCTTAATTTTATTAATTAATATTTTCAATTTTAGTGAGTCTCAAATTGATTACAATAAACATATTCTATTATATGTCATTTTAATATGGAATCCAAGCTTAAAGAAAAAAATCAGACTTACATAAGACTTCAAGAATCTGTTTTTATATATGTTTACATCATAAATCCACACAGTTTTAAACAGATTTATATTTTCAATTTCTTCTCAAATATCACTTTATTGGATACCTTTGTAATTGTGCTTTATTTTTTTTTCTATAAAGTGCAGTTTTAAAAAATCCAGATTTATTTGAATCAGCGTGATTCAATCTGAAAAGAAACATTTAAAAAGTAAATTATCAAACTGATTCAAATTCAGACAAAAATATTGGTTAGAACTATAAGCAGAGTAACACAACACACCAAAAACAAAAAAAAAAAGCAAAATTAAAAACTCTTTACTTAAACATTTTCATCAATATACAACAACAATTAAAAGATATAAAAATAGATTATTTTGATTGAATCTGATTATGTCTGTTGTATATGGATGAAAACATTTGTTTGAGAAAAGGATTTTTAATTTTGTTGCTTTTTGGTCTGATTAAAATTAATTTGAATCTATAATTATAGAAATAGGCCTATAAAATCATATTTCACTAAACATGAAAAACAATTTACAGTAATTTCATGCAGCTAACCCATGGCAGTGTATAATGCACAATGGCAAATACCCTGCACAAATAAATTAATCTTCTAATAACATGGCATAAATCAAAATAAAGTTCACAAACTTTATGTAGACTTTATATGTAACTGAGAAATCTATTACTAACTTTACAAAGCTTAAGCACAATTCTTCTATATTCTTTGGCTTTTATTTATTTATTAATGGCGTAGCCATTAATAAATAAATAAATAAAAAAACAAGAACTTATACTGGAATGAAAAATATAAATAAAATAAAATAAACCTTTAACTATTCAGCAATAAATAATGTTTAATAAGAATGTTTTCAACCGTTTTTAAACGGCCATCTTCAGTTAAACCAATATTAAAAAAAGAACACTAAAAAAGAACGCATGAAATACAAATTAAACAGAAACCGAAATGCGCATGCGTACTTCATCGGACTTGCGTCTTCTGAAAATCTATAAATAACTTGCAAATAACAAAAAAAGTAATAAAGCCACCAAAAAAAGGGGGGAGGAGAATATACGTTGATTACAAAGTGTTAATCTGCGTTATTGTAAAAGGATTTCCAGGCATAAGATAACCCTTCCGCATCTCTATGATTAATGCATCCCTTATTTATGTGTGCCTTGTGTATCTCTATCTTTTCAAGGTGTTTCAATGCCTGTCTGGAATTCGTGGCTCTAATGATCGAGGCTTGATCCCAATATACATCGACCTCTTGCTGTTTGGCAAATGCTGTGAGCACTGTGGCATCTATGTTCTTACTCACAGGGTATTTATGTTCCTTTAATCTTTGTTTTTAACTGCCGCGTAGTAGCACCCACGTAAACAAGGTCTGAGTTGAACCGCTGATCCTTTATAGGTATAGAATAAACCCCTGGTAAATTATTTCGCTTTTCCTTTCTCTTATCATTTCTTAACCTTCTGTAGATCGTCGGATTACGCCGATATACTATTTGTAGATTATTACTGTTCGCCAC